ACCTATCTTAGGGAAATACTTGAACATGTGCACTAAGACATATACATAAAGATGCTCACTTAATTTTTTTTGGGGGGGGGAGAGGGGCTTATTGAAAAAATTGAAACTTTCTATGTCAGTTAGAAAGAAAACTAAGGATTGCTGAGCAGCCGTTAAAATGAATGAGTATATCTATTGGTACTTAGATGAAAAAATTTCCAGGATATAGTGTTGAATGGTAAAAAATAAATGACTGATTGCAAATTCCATAGTGCAGCCATTTTGATATGTCCATCACATAGCTACGTGCATACGTATGTACGGGGTCAGGTAGGACAGACTTTCGCTTCTACCCTACATTCCAGTGTTTTGATTAAGAAAAAGGCAGTTCAGAAAGAGACACATCAAGCTGTTAGTGGTGTTTACCTTCGAGAGGGGAGAAAAGGGTGAAAGTGATTTTGACTTTTCACTCTATACACTGTGAACATGGAAAAACCGAACACACGATTATTTTGCAACTTTTGTGAAATTAAAGTTAACGTGAAAGGTGACACGAGAATACTTGCAGAAATACATGCCGTGGGCCTCAACTGAGTTTACCCCGCAATTTGCAGAGTCACAGGACACAGTCACACAGGCGGGCAGGAGGGCGTTTTCACCGGTAGTTTTCCAGTCCGCCTCCATTTACAGCAGCGGTTCTCAACCTTCCTGATGCCGCGACCCCTTCATACGGTTCCTCCTGTTGTGGTGACCCCCAACCATAAAATTATTTTCGTTGCTACTTCATAACTGTCATGTTGCTACTGTTATGAATCGTCATGTAAATATCTGATATGCAGGATGCATTTTCATTGTTACAAATTGAACATAATGAAAGCATAGTGATGAATCACAAAAACAATATGCAATTCTAGATGTGTTTTCCGATGGTCTTAGGCGACCCCTGTGAAAGGGTCGTTGGACGCCCAGGTTGAGCACCGCTGACTGACGGCATCATTGGAAAGACTTCGAGAACCCTCCCTCCCGCGATGGAGCATCAGACCCCACCGCCAACACGGCCGGGCGGGGCCTTATTTCCATTCGAGCCGGAGGTCATTTGTCCAACTCCCGCAAAGGTCAGTCATTTTAAGAAACAACTGTCACCTGTCGCTCACAGCTGCGTCTTCCGCGGGGGCTGCGGAAAGGCGCCGAGGCTGTGAAATGAGAGGCGGCCC